CATTTCCCCAAAATGGTCATGTCACATCCAATCCTTATCCTATATGTAATTGAAAAAAAGTGCTTAAAATGTATGGCTGCATAATTTATCAACACATAAATAACCAAACAGATTAAATTTAAACACAAAATATATTTTTAACTGTACATATGTACATACATACATACTTGAAAATTATTAAAATATAGCTTGCTTGATTAATGTTTTATGCTTTTTTTTTCTTAAACCAAAATGGTACATATAACTTGAAACCTCATAGGCGGGTTTTGAATTTAAAAAAGTACCATGACTTGCACAAACAAGTGTATAAAATTACCATTAATACATACAATTCTAAAGTAGGCCACAAACGAACAATAAATTAAAACAATCGGTAGAAATTCATTTCTCCACATACATGTGGACTTTTTTTAACAATTTTAATTTAATTTTAAAAAGAACAACAGCTCTATTAAGTACTATTTAGTTATATATTAAACTCTTATTTCAACGACTCTTTTAGCTACTTGACAAACCGATCGAAAGTTGACAAACATTTTTGTAAACTTTTAATCGGTTTGCAAACCATGCCACACACGTGTCAATGTGTTGCAATTTCAACTGATCGCTTTATTTTGTTGTCCGTTTGTGAATTGCTTTAATCTGAAGCAATTGATGAACTGTTATTAGTTGTGTAAACGAACATCTGTGTACAAAACTTTTAAGAATTTATAAATAACTATCACATTCCAACTTATGGTGTTTTTACTTCTTCCAAAAAATCTTGCCCTTCTATGGTGCAAAAAATGTTTGATGTTATACACTTAACCTGGTTAAAGTGAATGTTTTTGCTTGCCTATGTACAGATTCCTTTAGGAATTCAATAAGTGCCAAAATGTGCCAAATAGAAAAATAAAAGTGCCAAGAAAGGTGCCATTCTTTTTAATTCTTCCCAGCTAGCATTAAAATTAGAAATATATTCCTAAAACAACAGTCCAGTGCCAAAGTAAGATAAATAAAACAGTTGTATACACTATAGAAATTAGAAATTTTTAGTTGAGAAAAAGAAGTACACGCAAAGGATTTCCCAAAAATGTGTTGAAATATTACTATTTTTCAAAAGTGCCATTTTGGCCAATTTGTGCCAAATTGAAAAATAAAGTGCCATTTGAAGTAAAATAGAGCCAAAAATGGCACGGCATGTGCCAAGTTGGCAGCCCTGATGGTTGCACATCGGCTATCAGTCGCCATACATAATAGGGCCATTAACAAAGCTATTGCAATTCAACACAAATTTTTTTTTTAATAGATTTTTCGATTACTTTTTAAACTACTTTGAGGAATGGAATTGGAAAATTTTTTTTTTCAATTCCTTTTGTTGTATTACTAGGGTGACGAAAATACCAATGTTTATTGTCCTTATTAGAACGTGTTTGTAGAAACAATCAACTAAACATATTCGGTTTTTATAATGTGGCTGTTCACTCCTACCTGGGTTATCAGGTTATCTGGTTAAAAATAATTTTTCTGTAGCGCATTGTTGTTGCAACCAATTTTTGACCTACTTCACAGTTGGCTCAGAACCCGACGACAATGCAATACGAAATAGGAGTTAATTCGATAGGCGGCGCAGGAGTCGAGATATTTGAAAACCCCGTATTTATAGTCCGATTTGGTTCATACTTAGAAAGCTTGCTTTGCTTTATAAATATTTGATTTTACAATTAACTTATTTAATTATTCTGTGAACAAACAAAATAATGTTAGATGTACATAGAGAGCGAGAGCGATATCACAAGATGTTATGCAGGGAGCTAGACTTCCCTGAAAAGGTAATAAAAATTAAAAAGACAAAAGTAACCAAACCTATTAATTTTTCCGCTACTGTACGCATAGAATGCTTCACAGTCTGCCAAACCAGTCAGCAAAAATACCAGTTCATTAACTAGCATGTTACTAGTACGCTAACATTGAAAAAGGATGAAACGTGAACTAGTTGGGCTGCAAAGCAAACTGGTAGTATTTTAGTTCACAACTAGTTGCTTTCCCTGCAGGGAGCCCATTGAAGCTGCGTAATATATACATATTGACATATGTACCTTCATATGTATGTATGTACCTCCTTATGTGTATGTGATCTTAAATAACATCCATTTCCTATTCTCACTAAGCTGTTTATAAGGCGTCATTTTCTTCAAGGTTCTATTAGGGCCGAAGGTTTTGCAGGATTTACAGGAACAGCTGTTTTCGTCCTTAATAAACCTTATACCTAAGGTGTCGTGCGGGAACAGCTTCCTGTCAAATCCTGTAAATTCCTGCTATTCGTACTGCTGCTGGAACACAACTAAAATAAATAAATATATGCCCGTTCCATTAATTGTTGAGGAAAGAGTGAGGCAACAGGCTGTGAAGTATCAGAAAGGTCAAAATAATGGCAATTTTTTCTTGACCGTTTTCTTGAGAGCTGCATACAGGCCATAAGTAGTCCTTAGACGTAGCAAGTGCAAGTCCTTTTGAGAAGTCTTTCAACCTCTAGCATTTCCTGAAGCATGTAAGGTGATTTTCGAGAGCAGTTTTATATCCGAACATTGAAATAACCGACCCTACTTTTTGTCTGTTTACACGGTGAATGTTAACAGATAAGTACAAAACAGCCACAAAGTATTTAATGCTTTAATATTTAAATAGTTCATATAACGAGAATAAATTAATTATAAGTACTTTTTTTTATATATCGAGCCCTAACCGCCAAAATAACGTAAGCGACATTATTGCATCTAGATGCTCTAGGAACATTTCTGCATCAAAAAGAAAATTCACACGGCAAACCTCGCTTGGTTTGACAGCACTTGCAGCAAAAATTAAAATTGATAGTGCAGCACAAGTTTGAATAATTTCTCGAAAGCGATTTGCGTAATTTCTTGTGCATTTACCATTGCAATTTTTATTTTCAAAAGTGATTTATGCAAATTGGCAAAAAGTGCTTACATTGCCACGTTTAACTTCACTTTAACGTGTGGGTGTGGAGTTCTTACCATACAACCCTGCGTGTTATGTGCACATGTTTTTCAAAAGCCTGCATTGGCAATACTAATTCGTTTCATTTTCAATGTATTTCAAAATTTGCAAATCTGCCTTTTGTTCGCTGTTTGGCCGTTCCGTACTTGTGGGAATATGTGTGGATTGAAACGGGGCGAAAGTTAAACGGCGACTGACTTATTTAATGATATGTCAAAAAATTTTATTCACTAATTTGTGGCAGAAATAAATAAAATATTTCACTTGAAAATCGCGTGGAATTGTTGTCGAAGTGAACAGAAATAAAAATATAATAAAACGATAGATATTTGGTGTTTGTAAATCTATGCGAAAAAAACGTATGGGCAATTGATTGAAATCTGAATTGGTGAAGTGAAAAAAAATTGGTAGCCAGCTACATCACAGCAAGGCTATGTAGAGAAGAAAAAAGAAATTTTGCAAGAAAGAAAAATGAAAATACTTATAGGGTTACTGCTCAATATTTGATCGCATTCGACTTTTTGCATTGCGTGCTTTTGCCTAAAGTGCATTTTGTGGAAAAATGAACAAAAATAAAAATAATAATTAGTTAAAGTAACATGAATAGAAGAAAAATTGGAAGCAACGCACTACGTCGAAAATCTGCAATACGTTGACGAGAAAAAGGAACACGACGAAAGAGACTACGTAGGGAAAATACGATAAAAGTAGGAAAAAGCGATAAATTGAAAGGAAAGGCCGAAAGAAGAGAAAAGGCGATTGAATAAAAGAGAAGTAGAATTAAGTCACTCAGTCGACGCAGTAAAAACGCTTGCGTTTGCGCTGGCAGCGTTTTGACTGCTATAGCACCGGCAGAGGCGTTGTACGGCGACGTCTACAATAAATTTCAATAGATCAAGCGGAAAAGGTTAAAGTAAGAAATAAGAGGAAACGGAAGACGGAAAACTTGAACACCGATAGCACGACGAAGGCGGTGGCTGTCAATCGTCAAACTCGGCGATGAATTGTGAAGCCGAGTTTCAAAAGCGGCAATTATAATTAATTAAAATAAAAAATACAACGAGTTGTTTTGAATGGGAATATAAACAATATAGTGAATATATCTAAATTTTTAAATAAAAAGCGCGCACTTATACGTACGTTTAGTGCGTAAGTGCGTGCGTATATAAAAGGTCAACAGGCAGCAACGGTAAAGCCAATACGAAAAAGTGTTAGCCGATCTGAAGTTTCCAAGTATCGCACAAAATGGAATACCTATGGGGTTTGTATTGCCAGCCAACATTTCACGAATCTAAAGTTCACTATCTTAGTCGTTGAGGCATTAATGATTTTTTGCAAAGACAAAGAAGTTTTCTATTTTATATTCACTTCATCATCTAGCTGCATTCATATGTTTTATGTATAGTGTCTGACAACAATAAAACATCAGATTTGCCATTTCGTCCGATACAATTTGTAAACCGTTATGAAATTAATATTTTCCATATTATTTTGCAATAAATTTATTTACATCTTTCCTTTTTTGGTTAAAAAAAAAAAAAAAAAACATATCTACATCATTTTACTACCCAAATACTAACCGGCCGACTTTTGAGTATATGTCCAGAGGACATACAACTTTGTGAATAACATCTTAGTAGGTACGTAGGTAGATATCGATTTTCTTCAAATTGCTACTTTTTCTGCTCTTCTCACTAAAAATTTAATATAACAAAAAAAAATTCAAAAATTGGGCTCAACTAGTCCCTTGCAAATTTTATGGGCTCCAGCGTATTATGAACAGTAAATTCCAGTTTTGAAGCAATGTGCGATGGACGTCCGACTCGGAACATTGAACTGCAGCCTCTCAAGCAGAGACGGGCAGGTATTGTTACTGTAACAGCATACAATTTGCCCAAACACCCTAATATTGCTGGAGTTACAGTCCTTGGCCAGATACAAATCTGGGTCGTTCCGTCTACTATCAAACAACAAAAATTTGCCTTACTGCCGAAGTATTAATTCTTAAACAAAAGCAGCAACGCTACGTCAACGCAGAAATAACACCAACAATAACCATAGCTCTATTTATGTGAAATACAAAAATGACAGTTTCGCCATTTTCTGCAGCCAAATTCACTTTTTAAACCCTTTCAAAATCGGATTTTCCAACTGCTCAGCGTCGATACCGCGTTATTTCGGTATGCTTCATACATCTTGCATGGGTATAAGCATTTTTTGACAACAAGCAAAGCTGACGATTTTGTTGAGGTGTGGCAGTTAATGAACGCTAAGTCGGTTCGGATTTTTTAAAGTTCGAGGAGTTTTTAATTTGGCATATACATAGCTTCTGCAGCTCCATCATCCGGCCGCTGTTTACGATTAAAAAGTTTTAGGTCTCATTCGCACATCTTCATGGTTTTTCCATTCGACATTCCATATCACAACTTAAGTCGCGATATCGTACTCTTGTGCGCACTGCTTCCCTTGTACGCCTAATGGGTGTATTCTTCTAAACTAATTTTGTATTCTTTTTCGTTTTGTTGCCATTGCTCCTTCTATAAGTGTGCGCGTTTGTTTATGATTTAGCGTGTTATTTTTGCATGACATCTCGCTGCATTGAATATTAGCACTTTTATTTTCCTTCATATGACCACAATCATTTGTAGTTGTACATATACCATTGCCATAGATATGACTATATGGCCCGACACTTTCACAAAAAATTGCGCACACTAAATATGCGCACTGCATTTTTTTTCCATGAAGTCGTTTGTTGAACATTCACCTTCCATATAAATAAACGCCAAATCCGTGATTTGTAACCAGAGATAAATCGTTAAAATTGTACAGTTATAATGTTATCTAAAAATAGTGTGCAGCAAAAGTACCTTTTTTTAAAGTTTCTTCCTACCACAATGACAAAATAAATTGCAAATGCGTTACATTTCCAAAAATAAACAGAAAAACTGACATTAATTTATTTAAATTTTTGTCGATACTAAAATATAGAAAACTTTGAACACATGCTAGGTTATATTACTTACTATTAATACAAACAATACTATGTCAAATTATGTACTATTTAACTCCAAAATTACGTAACACAAAACGATCCTTCGCTCATTTATGTACTAAAATGCATAAAAGCTATAAAAACACAAAACCCTCCAAATCTTCATTCCATTTATATAAATTTGTTTTATTTTTTTTATTTTTTTGTAACTTTTTAGCAGGCGGTTATGTCTATATGAATGGGGATGCAGTGAAGTTACAACCACCTGTTGCAAACGCACTATACGCTCACGTACCCGTTGAAACGGCAATGCTAGCCACAACAAATCTGTACGGACCGACAACACAATTGGCAGCTCCAGCAGCAACACACATCCCATTGATAGCGACCACAGCTCAACAACCGCCGCATCCGCAAGCGTTGCAAGTGGCCGCCCCACCACCACCTTCACAACATCAACATCAACACCAGCACCAACAGTTGATACCACATAGTCATCCACACGCGCATACACATACACATAGTGCAGCTGTCGCCGCTGCTGCAGCCGCTGCCGCAGTAGCTCCACATACACAGCAAACACCCACTGCTGCTGCCACATTACAAACGGTGCCAACTGCCGCGCATCAAACCGCACACTTACAATACGCTCATCAGCCACAAGCGGTGGCTCAAGTTGCTACTGGGGGCACCACGGTCACAACGATTGATAGCGCCGAGTACGCAGCCGCCGTAATGAATGGCACAATTGCACAGGACGGCAGTGCCGTCTGCTATGGCCAGCAGGATGAATTGTCTGCTGGTATGACGACAGGAACGAATTTAATAGCTGTTGATGCATCAATGACGGGAACGCCCACATCAGTGGGAGCTCATCAATCGCACACGCAACATCATGTGGTTGTAGGTAATGGCCCACATCAGCACCAACAGGTGGTAGCACAACAGCATCATCAAACACATTCACAACATCAACAACAACAACAACAAACGATTATAACCGGTAGCAATTCGGCAAATACAGTTGACAGTTCTGGCATACCGCTGGAACAGCTTAAACAGATGCTCTCAACCCAATTGGAATACTATTTTTCTAGGTAAATATTTCATATTGAAAAACCATACTTTGTTCATAATGTCCATATATACATGTGTACATATATTAAAGATGACCTCAAATAGATGCGATACCACCGGTGCGATACGAAAATTTACGATATGCGATCACTACGAATCATTATGGTATATGGAAGGGCTCGAAACAGACGTGGTATACCGGTGCGATACGATGCGTTTAAAAACTCTATCAGCAGCCACAATTCATCGCAAGATATGAATGGCTTTTCCATTGTAGAATTGCATCTGGCTAGCATTTTTTTTCTAAAATTTTTCAACTTTTTAATATATGTATATGTATGTACGAAGTATGTATGTATGTACGTAACTGCCCCATTTTTTCATTAAGTGCAGATGCCTAAATCAGTTCGTCCTCAGAGCGTTTATATGCAATATACATATCTATAACAGTTTTTATATGTTTTGTATCGACTAACTTAGCCTCTGCGACACAACGAGAGATATGTAACAATCTCATTTTGTCACCCCGCATCGTGATTAGGTCGTACCACTGTGTATCGTATCGTAACAGTTTGATAGCCTTTGCTTTTTAGCGTTATCGCAGCAAATACAATATCGTATCGCATCAAATACGATAGCGTATAGCATCGGTTTGAGATCACATTAAAATATAAACTTCTTAAATGAAATGTCGAAACACATTTTTCTTTTTACTACAGAGAAAATTTAGCAAACGACACATACCTTTTGACACAAATGGACGCCGACCAATATGTTCCCATAATCACTGTGGCCAATTTCAATCTTGTCAAGAAGCTCACAAAGGATATTAAACTGATTACTGAAGTGCTAAGAGAATCGCCAAATGTGCAAGTAGATGAGGAAGGATTACGTGTTCGCCCAAATCACAAACGTTGCGTAATTATATTGAGAGAAATATCCGATAAAACTCCAGTGGAGGAAGTTAAGGTAAACACACACGAAATATATCCTATAAGTACATACAGTGCCAGACACCGAATTTTTCGCAATGTATGCAAAGTTTTTTATCCTCATTTCTTTTCGCAATTTTTTTATGAGACTATAGTTCTTATTATACAAAAAAAACATAAAAATAAAAGATCTAAACTTTCTGCAAAACTTTGGAAAATTGCTGGCGGTGTTAAGGCAGTGTCACACAATTGGGCTTTTGCCCAAGATTTGGTGCAAATCGTATCCCAATCGTGTGAATGCACAAATCATTTGCTTTGTCCCAATCACGAACAACAAAATGCTAAAATTTATCAATAGAAGTTGTATTGTACCAACCGTGTGACTACAAAAAAAAAAAAAAAATTGTCCTAATTTTTTTATATTGTAGCCCATATAAAAAATGAACAAATCTGTACCAATGTACCAATCGTGTGACACTGCCTTTATTATTTTCTTCCATACAAAAATCAACGCAATTTTTACCAGCTTTTGACGCGTGTAGATACATGTACACTCATGGTAAAAAGTATTGGCACCGAAAATATATCACAATGCAACAAATTCGCGTTTTTTCTATATCTATTTTCGAAAATTTTTTGTATGGAAAAAAATACATGAAAAAATGTCCAAAATCAACGGTAAGTCCTACCTATTTTTATTATAATAAAATTTGATGGGCTATAAAACTGCGTACTTAAAAAAGAATAAAAAAGAAAATAATCAGATTAAAAATTTTCATGAATATTTATATTATATTGTAAGAATTGTACATGTATTAATCATTGAGCTGTATATGGATAAATGATTTTGAAAACTATAAAAAAGTCGTAATGGTAACCAATGAGTATATTTTCCCTAAATAAAAAAAAGTTGATAAACACTATTGCATTTTGTTTCAGAATATTTTTAATAATGAAAATTGTCCACGCGTAATATCATGCGAATTTGCGGGCAATAATTCATGGTACATTACGTTTGAGTCTGATGAAGATGCCCAAAAGGCTTTCAAGTACTTGAGGGAAGACGTTAAAGAGTTCCAGGTAAGCGAAAACAGCAAATTCTTGCATTTTATAACTGTGAAATATACAAATTACTCCTACAGGGTTCATACCTAGCAACTATTTAAGAATTAATGTTTTTTTTTTTTGTAGGGTAAACCCATTATGGCTAGAATGAAGGCGAAACCTTTCATTAACCGGCTGCCAATTGCACCGGTGCCAGCCTTAAAGAATGGCTTCCGTCTGACCTCTCCCCCAGCTGCGGTGTATGATCCGAACGCTGCAGCAACTGCAGTTGCATACAGCGCAGCACCACAACGATTTGTATACGCAGCTAATGGAGCAGCAATGACGCAGGCGTCTGTACCTTATAATACGCCAGTACATCTTTTTGTAAGTTCTTTGCTTTTGAGTACCAATTTTACTATGTGTATCCTCACATTTTTAACGTCATACCTTTAGCCATTCCAGCAGCAGCAGTTTTACCCAAGTCTTGTCGCCACTACACCATGGCCACCGGCGGCTGCTGCCGCTGTAGCAGCAGCCGCTACCACAGCACACGGTCAAAATTTTTATGAGATAGGAAATGTGTTCGCCGCTAATGGCTTAGCACCGCAAGCGACTGTGCCAGCCGCTTATGCGACATCTGCGCCCCCGCAAACCGCTGCTCCATTGACAACCACTTCAAAGGGACAAAGCGGTGGTGGACGCTACAATAGCCATCGTAGTAACACTAACAGCGCTGGTGGTGGTGGACGCAGCAAGTTGCGTAGTAATAATACGCAACAACAAATGCAACAACAACAAAGTCAGCAATTGCCTGGTATGATTGCAACGCTGGGTAATGTCGTTGGCAGTTTAGTAAGCGTTGTACCAACCATAATTGATCCACATCAACAACAGCAGCAGCAGCAACCGCAGCAGCCACTGACACAGCAACCTCAGCTTCAAATGCAACAGCAGCAAGCGACTTCGAGTCAAGCGCAGCAACAGCAGCAACAACCGCCACAACAATCACAGCAGCAGCCTCAAAACACCAGTTCCACAAGACATTACAACAGTATGAAAAGTAGTGCAGGTAAGTCCTCTTACTGCTCCCGAAATCTATTGGACTTTAAAACATTTCTTACGCTCTATCAACTTTTCAGGTGGTATATCAAAATCGTCAATGGATAAGTCTTACGGTGGCGGTAGTATGTCCTCGCACATACACTACAGCACACAAACACAAACGGGCACTGCGTCGTCTCATCATCATACGTCGTCAATACAGCTGCAGTCCCAACAACAGCAACAAGCGAATGCCGTTGCTGGTGGCACACATTTACAACAAACTCACTACCAAATGCCTTCCTCAACAGCAGCGGTAGGGGCCGCTGCAACGGGAACAATACAACATTCTTCCTATTCACATGGTACACCGACAGTGTCGGTGCAACAGCAGCATCATCACCAAACACACCATCAACAGCACCAGCAGCAGCAACAACAGCAAGTGCAGCAGCATTTGCATGGCCAGCATGTTGCCGAGCTGCAAGATGATGGTGGTGTATTAGTTATCGGTGCTGGCGGTGATATGTTGCAGCATTCGCAACAATCTGCACATCCCCATCAACAACAGCAACAGCACAATAGAAGTAACTTGTCTAGTTCAACGTCGTCGCTGGCGACGTCGTCCTCTGTTGGAGTTGGTGTGGTGGGGAAGGAGCCGCTCATGCATTGGACGCAGCCGCGACATCGACGTCGGAGACGTGACGACGACGGTAGCGTTATGACTTACTCGCCAAACACTAGACTTGGTGGCGGCGGTGGCGGCGGAGTAAGCGGTGGGGTCAGTATAACGACATTTTATACGCCTTATAGCACTTTCGTGCACAATGTTGTTGGGGTGGGTGGTGGAGTTGGAGTTGGTGGAAGTGACATGGGTGTAGAATTCGATGTAGGCAATGGTGGCAACATTGGATGCGTAGATAATGCGAGCGGGAATGAAACTTCAGGAGGAGGAGGAGGAGCAGCAGCAGCAGGAGGAGTTGGCGGTGGCGAAGGCGGAGGGCAGCATGGCGGCGGCTTGCAGTCATTTACTAGCAACCCCACCATCACCACCACCACCACCACCACTGTCATCACTGCCATCGATAGCTACAGCACGGCGAATTCAAGCCATACTATGAACTTAAATTTAAATGTAATTGCAAATCTCAATCAGAATCTGAGCACAAATTCGAATCAGAGTCCGAATCCAAGTCCAAACCGCAATTCGTATGCGATAAATGAACTGAATCAAAGTCATAGCCAAAACCAACATAAGCATTATGGCCAAAACCAGCACCAAAGTCAGCAGCATAGCCAATCAAATCAAGCCCAAATAATGTCTAATAGCTTCCACAACAGCTTCCACCACAACCAATATAATAATAATAAATTTAGCAATAACAATTCTGCCTCTTCTACTACCACCACCAATACTACTACTAATACTACCACTAAAACTTCTACTTCTACTAATGCTAATGCTACTAACAATAATCATAATAATAATTTTGGTACAACAACAACATCATCAATAATAACAAGCACAACAAACAATGTGAATACGCAAAAAGCAAAAATATTCATTCAATCCTCTACTTCGCAGCAGCAATCGTACATTGGTGGTAGCTCATCGTCACATCATCAATCACAGCAACAGCAACAGCAACAACAACAATCGTCCAACTCAGCCACATCGCTTTCGTTATCAAATAATAATACCAATATACTTTCAACTCAGACGAGTGGCGGCGGTGGTGCCGGTGGACACCATAGTCAACGCGGTGAGAGTGGTCATCATGGTGGCGGCACTGGTGGCTATAATACGCATCGTGAAGAACATCGAGGTGGCTACAAAGGCAACAATTACAATCCGCACTACAATAGTGGTGGTGGCATGGGTCACCACTCGCAGCATTCGGGCGCATCACATCATCACCATCATAGTGGCGGCGGTACAACACAACCACATCATCACCATCATTCGGCTTCGCACCACACAGGCTCAACGCATCATTACCACCATCATCGCCACGAAGTGGGTGGTGGTGGTGGTAGTGGTGGAGGTGGGTTAAGTGGTGGTGGATCAAGTGGTGGACATGGCATAAGCGACCGCAGCAATGATCGCAGTGGAGGCCACGGACATCACGGTCAGCAACAGCAACAGCAACATGCGCCGCCGCCACAACCACCACAATTCGATCTAGAAGCGGCTGCATTTCCACCACTGCCAGGTTTGTTATTTTCCCGCACCTTTGTTGGAATATTAAGCAGAAAATGATTGTTATTCGACTTTTTTTTTTGTTTGAACCGAAATTTCTTTGGAGATGGTAGTGAATTAAAAAATTGTGTCGAAAAAGGTGAAACTTGGGATGCAATGGAAGTGCATCCATTTCTTGCTTCTTCTCTATTGAGAAAAAATTATCGACAGGTGCTACGAGCGCTTTAGAGTTAAGATTCAAATTAAGTTTGCTATTGAGACTGAGATTAGGATTATGATTAAGAAAATATCGAGATCAGTCCTATAAAGTATTTCCAATGAGTATAGCTATTAAATCGGAACGTAATACACAAATTTGTCGAGAGAACTTTCACTTCCTTAGTGTGCGCCAGAATTCTTCAGATTTTTATTTTATTTATTTTGCTTGTCGACCAGGCAAAGCCAAGATTTTCGGAATATGCCTTGAGATTAAATCAATCGACAATAATAAAAAAGGAACATAAGACATATAATTGTTTTATTTACCGTCAGCTTAGATCTCAAAAAAACATTAAAAGATTACAATAATAGGCCAAGAAGCAAACCAGACCATATTTGCTTGAAAAGTAAAACGTTTTTGTTTTTGTCTCTTTGTACGTTTCAAATACAAACAGCAACCTCATCGTCCACAGCATCTTCATCGTTAGCGTCCTCTGGTGCGATTCCGACAAACAGTAGTGGCAATAATAGCAACAGCGCTTCGTCTTCTGGCAACAAGCAAACTGCCAATTTGACACCACACCACCAACAGTCGCAGCAGCAGCAGTCTTTTAGTAGCAGCGGCAGCGGCGGCGGCGGCGGCAATGATGGTAGTGTAAGTGGAAATAATGATGTGCAGCTGCAAAAGACAAGCTCCGGCTATTTGCAGCAGCAGCAACAACTACAACAACCTAATCAGTGCTCAAGCCATTCTAATGCCTTACAGCAATCTAATAGTTCCTCGACGACGGTAACTGGCGTAACAGCAAATGCCGGTGGTGGCGGCGGCGGCGGCGGCAGCAGCAGCAGTGGCAGTAACCACCACAGCACCAGCATTAGCGCCAGCGCTGGCTGGACCAATGAAAATCGTTTGGCAGATGTGGTGCGCTCTGGTGGTGGCGGTGCTAGTGTCACTGGTGGCAATAATAAGAGCAAATCCCGCAAAGATTCCGCCCATAATAATAAACAGCAACTAAATTTTCAGCCGCGTAATGTAGGTATTAATGTGGCCGGTATTGCTGGTTCAAGTCCCACCTCAACAGCGTCCATAAACAATATGAATAACACCACTACTACCACAGAAGGTGCTTACGCTGTAGATGAACAAAATACTGCAGCCGCAATGAAGTCGAACAACAATAAGTCTGCGACGATGAATAAGCAAAATTCGAATTCGAATAACAACTACACCACCTCTGCCTCCTCATCCAACAACACTGTGATAAAGTGTCCAACACAACCCAATAACAACAAAAACAACAACGCCTATAGTCTGATTGGCAGTAACGCGTCATACGACAGTAATACTGGTGAGATATACATACTAACGATGATAACATTCACGAAGAAAACGACTTTCACAACTAGAATATTCCGCTTGCAACTAAAATTTTTCTCTTAACTAATAGATAGCTTCGCTCTATGTAAGCCAGATTTCGGGATTTGAATACTTTTTGTATTTTTATTTAAAAAAAAAAACTTTTACTGGGACATGCTGCATGGCGTTGATCAACGCTGCCGCAGAAAATGAGCTTTTGAAATGTAGAGTCTTTTCCATCATCTTAGAACCCAGCGGCCGAGAATGCTATAGCATTCATTCACAGTTTTTTTTTTTCGTCTAGCTTTAGTATAATGCGGCATTCCCTTTATTCTTTAAACGACAAGGAATTTTTTGATGAGACTTAATAAGAATATTGACTTGCTAGTAACGGAACTATTTCTTGCACGTTTATTTGCCAAAAGTTCTTCAACGGCTCGGCGCCAGTGAGTCATTCGTAATCGTATGATGCGAATGCCGCATTATACCAAAACCAGCCTTTCGACATAAGCTACTATTTCATGCGAATACAAATTTGTAGTTGAATACCGCGAACGTATTGACAGTGAATGTATATCTTTTTATATAATTAATCTTTAAATTCTACTAACATAAAGTAAATTTTCAGTCTCTGGTGAGAAACCAACCAACAAGACTGAGGAACTGTTTGCGTCAACACAAGAAGTAGGATGTAAGCAACAGCAGCATGCTACCAGCGACAACGAACAGCATCATCAAATTAATCACCGAAGCAGCGGCAACAGCAGTGGCAGCGTAAGCCAAATTTCTTCAGTTGGTTTGATGAAAAACACTAACACTGTGTTATCAACGACATTGTCTACAGCTGGTGCACTAAGTAGTGGCAGCAGCGGCGCCGCCAATAACAGTGGTACACCGGCCGTAACATGCAGCGTGGCCACAATGACCACAAATTTCGCCGAATGTAGTCTAAGCAATCACAAGAAACCGCCAGCAGTTGCTGATTTACTCGCCAAAAAGGCGACGCCAAAAGATGCTACTAAGCATAAGAATGCTTCAACATCTACGAATTCAGCTTCCATAGAAAATATTGTCGCAGCGCAGACCGTCATACCAATGGTAAATGCTGCTGCTGCTGCTGCGGCGGCGAATAGCAACAGCTCACGATTGAGCTATGCGCAAGTCGCTCAACATCACAAGGAACGCGCCGTCGTCGAAGGCGGCAACAACAAAGAGACATCGGTTTCAGGTCAAGCATCACCAGTGGCTGTGCCCAATAAAAACGAATCTTCGGTGGCAACCTTGAGTATAAACAAAATTGAGACTGTGAATAGTAATATCGCTGCGTCTGGACCAGTCAGTACAGCTGGTGTGGTAGCGGTGGCGGCGGCGGCATCTGCGACAGCGACAGCGCTGCCTGCAACAGCGATTGCAGCTGCATCGCAATATGCTGAAAAACAAAGCGATAAGTCGATTAGCGGCTCTCCATCAGCAGCAACCGCATCAGTGCTGATGGATAAGCAATCGCGTGGCATAACGAATGTATTAAGTCAATCGATGTTAAGTGGAGCCACCATAGTTGGCGCTGGTGGAAATGTTGGCGCCAGTAGTGGTGGCGGCAATAATTCCGGTGCTGTGAACGATAGTGGCAGTAATGTAGTTACATTACGCACTGATATTTCCAAAGATAAAGGCAAGTTCAGTATTTAACAATATTGATAACGAATATCTGCTGGTGAAAATGTGAATGTATATAATATTTATAAATTTGTTAAAGTAATGTAATTATTAATTTGTTTAAATTTCAGATGGTTTTCGTGAAAATCGTCAAAGCACAGGCAGTAACAATAGCGGTAGCAGTGGATTTAGTAGTAGTGGTGCAGTCAGTAACAGTGGTATAACTACAACGGCCGTTACAACGGGTGCACGCAATCGCGGCATCGACGGCAAAGAAAAGAATGTGCGCGAACGACACGATACTGCCGAAAGTAGCAGTAGTGGGCGGAAGTCTGGCCGAAATTAATCGTCGGTTAGGTTGCGATCGAAATAAACACGGAGATAGTTTGCTTAGAAACAGCATTTCACACGAAAACATAACACACAGCATAGCTTACACACACACGATACTCACTTAAAACAAAATATAAGACTACACAAGTAGAACATAAGTAGATGATGCACGCTAAAGGACTTATTGGGAAATTGGAGCAAAAGAAGCACATGGTGTGTGTGTGTGTGTGCGTGTGCTGCAATAACTATGCGCGCAGAAACGAATGGTATAACCAATTCAAGCATTGTGCTGCTCTGCTGCGGTATAAAAGAATTTAAATATAAGATAAAAGGAAAATTAAAAAATTCAGACATATATCCATAAGTGGTGTTGACCAAAAACCAACGAAAAAACCGAACGTAGCATGTGCCAAGCAAGTGCCAGTAGTTTTTGTGTGTGTAGCGAACGTAGCGCTAACCTTTATATATGCACACAAGGCGACGTTCGCCGCCCCAATATGAATTGTGAAAGTTGTCAAAGCTGCTTAATGTTGTTGGATTCCATTTGGTGGGTTTGCTCTCAATTATCGTACTATGACTACTACATCTACCATTAATGCATACTACTACTACTACTACTACTACTACGGCTGCTGCTTTAAGTGGATTCACTTGAACACACTGCTATAATAACCACAATGTAATTAAGCGCGTGTGCATAGTTATACATAGTTACAAATAGTTAGTACGGCTATATAGAAATACGAAAATTACGAACGTAAGCTACTTCGAAATACTACAATCCGCAAGATTTACTGCTGCAGCAAATCTACTAATCTACTACATACAGTTAGTTTGTATGATATTTTTTCGCAAAAAAAAAAAACTGCAATAAGGATACAAAAAACAAATGTTGTAGAACAACAATAAACAGAAATATGGTAAGTGGAACGCATTTATAGAGTATCTAGAGATGTCATATTTTTATTCATGGATATTACTATCTTTTGTAAGGTGACTTACAGTGAAATTTTACGAAAAACACTTTTATCCGTAACCCCCTAAACTACGGATTTGTGAGACATTCTGGTAAATATTATTTTGGTATTATTTGGCACGTTATTTCTCGGGTGTTTCGGTATTTTGTTTGCCGTTTTCCGCAAAAAGAGACAATAAAGAGCCATCTATTGAGGAGTTAGAGGGTAAACATAGCCATTAAATGGCACTTATGAAAGCATGGTTACTGTCACAATTAAAATATTCAATTATATTTGCTTAGCTGGACTAGAAATTTGGTAGAGGTTAAATATCGCATCTTTCATATTCGATTTCGGCGCATCAGTAAAATGGCTTACCATGGCGATATCGTCAGCAAAGGGCCGAATACCATCCGTCCTAAGCCCCAATAAGTAGGAGTACCAAATTTTGTTGAAATATTTCACTTTTTACTGGAACAATAGTGTGACAACATCAGGGCGCACACCACAAATCGGAAGAGAAGCTCGGCCAAATGCTAACATATTGTGTAAGCGCCAATATATTATAATAATAAACGAAAGGACGAACATAGACATTTCTAAACCGAGTTCTGGTTTCAGTCTGTACATTTTAGTTTGAAGTATGTGTCTATATCTATTGAAAATTGTAAATCTAAGCTTAAAACTTGACTCATAAAATATTTAAACTGAAAAACTCAGCCAAAAAAGATTATTTTAAAACAGTTGTTATGACAGAATTCGGGCAATTTTTAGGTAGTGCTGGCACCCGCCAAGAAATAGGGCTGGAAGTTTGCGATTCGAATATCTGATTAAAAAATCTGAATATCCGAATAAACAAATGAAGGATATCAACCGGATATCCGGTTAACAAAATATAAGTTCCGTACGGTTATCCGGATATACGCATAGTCCCAGCCCTACTAGTACCAGTTTATTTAGTAGGTCCAGTTTGCGTACTTGCAGCCTAAACTTGCTAAAATATCTGCTGTAGCTTTCTGAATTATTTAGAGGACGAAAGTCGAACTACGCTGAGTTAGGCGACTTCTCAAGGTTTGCTTTAAATATTCATTTAAGGCCTTAGTTGGTTAGTTCTAGTTCGCCGCAATTGGCGCCTCAGCAGTCTATCAACGCATGTTTGAAAAATTTAGTTTTACTTCGCATGGATAATGAAGAAAACCCTTATATCATATCCTTGATAAGTCAAACTTTTTTTTTTACCGTTTTATAAACTTTTTCCAGGCCTAACTCAAACTGTAATAAGTTGAAAGTTAGATGAAGATTTTGGTTAACCCCTGAAGAAAATCCGATAATCATTTATTTTCACTGAATTGAGTTAGATGTTAACCGCCCCATCCTACTCATTGTACACTTTAGTGTTTAGCTTGTACAAATTTACGGCTGAATGTGTATAAAAAAATCTGATGTTAACAAATTTTTTTCTTCCTACTTTCAGCTGTTTTGGTTATAGAAAGACGACCCGTATACAATACGCGGGGAATGTATATATAAAAAAAGGACCAGTCAGAAATTATTCTTATTACTACTATTGATAAAATATTTATACATACATACATATGTATACATACATAAAAATATATATATATATCACAACCTATCCTTAGTTTTTAAGCAATTGATAAACGAAATGTCAAAATGTTAAAAAGGCAAAACAAAACGTGAGACAAGCACGACGCTTTGCAAAGTGCATAATTGTTGTATATAGAGAAATTAACTTTGTCAATAATAATAATAATAATTATTATTAAAATATTATTGTTCACATACAAATACATATGTATGTACATATGTAGAACATTTATACGTAATGTACATATACATACATATGTACATGTATGTATACATTGTCTACATATTGATCACTAATAATTATAACTAAAGACGTTATTGGATCTACATACATATATAGATATATGAGTGATGCAAACACACAACACACACACACTTCGAGCAACTATGTATGTAGGATTTTATAAAGAGTTATACACATGTGTTACATATTAAATGGGAGCGAGAAAAAAAAAACCACAAAAACGATATTATATACATACATACTAAAATCGTAGTTAGGCACATTACAGTGAATATTATAATACTACAGGCAGAAACGTTAATAATCACATTGACGTAGATACGTATATTGGAGTGAAAGAGTTGCCCTTTAATTTTGTTTTTTATATGCGCGTGAGAAGAAAGTGTTAATGTGAATAAAAAACGTACACAAAATAGGGAATAATATCAAAAGCCATAATATACGAAGTCTGTAACGTTTGGAGTAGGAAGAGATATATTATATTATTTTGCCTTCGAACTCATTGCAAATTCGTTGTTCTAGATCAACAATTAATAGAATTAGTTTTAAAACTATTTTGAAAATGGAAATCTAAACCAAAAAAAAATAATTAGGAATAGTAAATGAACTTGAGTTAGGGAAAATGAATTTTTCGCTGTCGTATAATGAAATCGTGATTAAGTTTTATTATTTGCGACACAAAAAACCAACTCTATAGCATCCTGAAAAGGATGAGCAAAAATCAAAATCGAGTTTTGTATAAAAGGCTATTTAAAATTTCGTTATTTTTTTGTAAGCAACAAACGTCGACGATACTAAAAATTGTCAGCGCTTGTTTTGCACATGCTTCAGGATTTTATATATCAATAAAACATTTCGATGCCTAAGCATTTTTATTAAAGAGAAAAAAAAACATGGCTGTTAAGGCTTCGTTTTACAGTAGTTATTGAACTGGTTCACAAGGTGATAGGGGGTAGGACTAAATTTAAAAGCGATTTTTTTTTAAGAAATTTATCCTTAACAGCGTTTATTATACTTGTATTTACGTATCATATTGTTATTATATTTTTAGTTTAGCATAACTCGTTTCGCGCCTTCCAAATTCCAAATGTACATATATAACCGAATTAAAGCGTAAATATGTATATAAATATAATAAGATGTTGTAGTCTTGTAGGTAACTAATTATTAACAAATTATAACATGAATTCATAATAGAACGAAAAACTAACTATGTAAAAAATTAATAATCGAATGTGCCATAACAGAATGTGCGAATGAACGACATAAAAAAAGAATTGAAGCAATTGGCTAAAAAGTAGTGAGAAAATTGTTTGACACTTTTTAAGGATGCTATTTGATACTTATTCACTTCCTTTTTGGATGCTTCTGAACACCTCATTCACTCAACGATGTGGTCAAAGTAAACAATTTTTTTCATTTTTTTTCAAGCTTAAATTTTAAAACTTTATTACTTAAAAAACATATCTAAGCAGCTGTATAAGATCTTTCAAGCTCCATATTACTTGTATATGTTCATACATATATAAAAATTTATTTATCAATAACTCTTGAACAGTGAATTTCCTTGACTAAGAAATTCGAATTACTTCAAAAATCTTCAATTGGACACTGAAGATACGCTATCAATTTCAAGCAAAATAAATTTTGTTTTCATGCGATTAAAGGCGCACTAAATTCGCTTAACTTCAAGCGTCGTTTGCATACAAACGCAACCTTAGCTTATTAATTTAATCAAAACAAAAAAAAATGTGTTTTCATTTTTCAATTAGAACAAAATTTAAATCTAAGCTGTATTAATATCAAAATCTTGGGTTACTTAATCGGTTCTACAAAAGGGTGCCGCTTTTTTAAACATTTCTTTGTAAATATTTCTCATACAAAACTAGAATCTAAGAAAAAACATTTTTTTTTAAAGAAATTTCAATGCTGCGTACTTTTCATTTAATTTATACAGCTAATTGCAGTTAAGTTGTATATTTAAAACAACCTTGTTCTTAAAGTTTAATTTTATTTGAAATCTCATACGAACAGCTCTTGGATTTGGTTCGGCAGCGCGTTGCTGCAGTTGGCATTAAAAAAACAGAAAATGTTAATTGAGAAGTTACGTACGTAAAATCATTTGATTTCGACTTGAAATTCAATTAATTTCCATCGCTATTTAGATTATTTATAAATTTTATTTTTTATTAAATTTCATTATAAAGCTGTTGTCGCAATTAAGTGAGCAAATAAATGCATAAATATATGAATTTCGATTTAGATGTTTATTGGCTAGGTATATTAGTTTTATTAATTAACTCACTTGCTTTTAAAAGAAATTGGAAAATGTTTATTATTTGCGTTTTTTAAGTTTGGCTATTTTTGTTTATTATTTCTTTTTTCGAAATTCAATGAAATCATACAATAAACGAATTTCATTTCATGTTTACTCCCTGATTAGCTATTAATGTTAAGATGTTAAAATTTTAGTTTTAGAATACTGAATTTAAATATTTATTATATATCGTTATTAAAAAAAAAAAACAATTTGTTGCAAGTCCGGGTAGATTATATGTAGTTTTTTTTTTATTCATCAATTAAAACCAGCTTTTCGCATTAATAACGTCGTTCAACGTATACTTACATACCCAGCAGGCAAAGCTCTACTAGTTGGCTACTAGAAAACTACTAGGTTTCTTTGCGGCTCAACTACTTCGCAATCATTCTTTTTTTTCATTACTAGCAACTGGTATTGTAATGTGGCGATGCCCAACCAGTAGATATATACTAGTATCGCCATGCCAGTTGATAAGCCAATTCATCACCAGTTGAAGAAGTAAATTTGCAATTATGGTCGTAATGAGCGACCGAGCAAGCATCGACGCGAACTTCGAACGATCCGTTTATTTCAAAAGTAGTTTTTCTTTAATCAATAATTTCATTGGGCTATTCGCCGTTTTTTAATATTCCTTTGTAATTTTATTTCATTTATTTATTTGTTTATTTTTAATTGTTTTCTTGCAAATGTATGTACTTCAAAACAAGGAGGAGGTTATCAATTCGTTGGAATATTTTTGTATGTACTTTACCGCATAACTTTAGACAACGTGAACCGATTTTGATCGGAGAGGTAGTTTCTTAAAGGTGGTCCCATACTAATTTGCTTTAGATCCGATCATTGGATCATGGCGAAATTAACGGTACTCTTAAATTTGTGTATGGGTGTTTCCAAATAATGTCGGACGTGACATTCGTACGACTTTAGAATTAAATAAATCATACGAAAACTGAAGTCACTTATAAAAAAAAAATTGTTGCGCTTGAAGCACAGGACCGACCATTACAACCAATTCATTCTTATTTAGAAGCAATTCGTTGTGGGTTTAATTTTGGAATTAAATTGGGATAACGGACGTAAAAGATTTTTGTTCCATACAATATTTTTACTAGAAATACATATAAATTAATTTTTATATTTAAGTTTTTCAGATCTTCACCGTTTCGCGTTTTCATAACATTTTTTTTTCGCCATCTGAATACGAAGTTTAAAGTTCTAACTCATTTAGTTGCATTTTCGGTTTACATTTTAATGGACATTTCAAGGCAGATGTCGCTAACCGCATAACGGATGTTTTTCTTCGAAATTTTTGTTTTAACAGCATACAAATTCCCCAAACAGTTTTTGGGGAATGATGCTGGAGTGACAGCCTTTGGCCAGATATGAATGAGGATCGTTCCGCTTACGTAGACCCGTCTGTTGTGGGAACGTGTTGGAAACTGTCGAACAGATAGGCCACCACCTCATCAGCTCATACCAGTTAAATGAACTAGTCGGATTCTGCCAATTGATCTACTAGAAAGTTTACTTACTGTTTCGGCTTTTCGCTGCAGGCTATATAGGAAAGAGGATATGTGGGGGTGCAGTGCGTGAAAAATTTTTACTGCCGACTTTGCGCACTTGAACAAATCTATACATAATACATATCGTCACCTGAAATGCAAAAAGACGTAATAAACATCGTCGCTGAAATACAAAAAGTCGTAACTAGTAAAAAATTCAAAATTCAGTTTTTGATTGATATGATGGATTTCATCGAAATACAACCAACTCCCACATCATTTTATGAAAAAAAATAAAAAATATTAGTCACGACTTTTTCCAATTCAGTTACGATGTTGTTACGTCGTTTTGCATTTCAGGTGACGATCGTTGTATATTCATGCGAGGTAGTAATTGTTGTTGTTGTTGTTTTTTTTTTTTTTTTTTAAAGAGGTTGGGAAGGTTGAAAAATATACCTTAATTAGTTTTTAACACCGTACAAGGCATGCATAGTCATATCAATTATATTTTATTTTCTCACACAATTGTATGTACATACGCCTATGTGTGTATGTATGTGCCATTTTAGAAGTAACAAAGGATAAAACTATTCATGTATGTATATCATAGATTAATAAAACCCCGAAGTGTATGTGTATACAAAAATATGTACATACATACATCTATATAGTTTATGCAAGTTTGATTTTATGCATCGAAATTGAAATGACAATTAACCATGAAATTTTTGTTATAAACTAAAGAAATACAAAAATCAGAATTAGGAATTGTAAATAGGTAGGTAGTTGTTAGTTGGTAGGTATTGACGAACTGCATACTTACATACATACATACATAGTATATGCACATACATAAATTCATCTTTGTGGTGTGTGTGTGTGTGTGTGTGTTTTGTGCTAGATCACAAATGAGGTTTTGCTGATGATGATGACGATGTTTTCCCAGCCTAAGCTAAATCCATACATACATGCATGCATACATATATGTATACATGTATGTGTGTAGTAATTAATTTACAACTGTAAACTGAAATTAAATTTGTATTAAATATAAATATGTATACATAAACTATTTTCTAGTTGCATAAGTTAAATTGTATTTGTGGTACTATACGATAAGTTGACTAATTTGCCTAAGCATAGTATATACACAAAAACTTATACAAACATGCATACATACATATACATATATCTATACTTATAAAATATAACTATGTGTATGCATAAGAACTTGATATATATATATATATATATATGTGTATCTTATGTATAATACATACTACATGCATAGATTATAAAAATCTACCGAACTAAAATACATACATATGTACGAAAATTATGTGCTTGCATACATAATAAAACATACACGCATATTCGCATAGTACATAAAAAGGCAACAAACAAAAATAGTAATGTTTGTCTATTTGAATTACTAGCGCTAAACACCGACAAAA